GTATATATATATGTATGTATATATATGTATATGTATATGTGTGTGTGTGTATATATATATATATATATATATAGCCATGCTAGTTTCATCTCTTTTTCTGTACATATCATTGCAATTTTACACTTTAAAAAGCATCTGACCGCAAAATTACACAAACCACAAAGTATTCCAAAAATCGGTTTAATACAATTCTATAAAGGTTTTCTGGCATCACCAAAGCAGGATTATGTTAGGAAGTAGCAAACTTTTAAATTTTTGTAAGTGTGTGTGGTTCAGGTATTCCCTATGTTGTGGGGACAAGGATAGTAATACCCAAAAATTTTTATCTTGTGGGGCCTTTTTTTGTCATACTAAATCATACTAAATATGCAGAAACTTTTCTTTGAGAGTTGTGTTTAGGGGTCATTTTAGGGTTGGGAGATAGAATATACAGTATGTACATTATAAAAATCATTATGTATATGGAAAGACCCATAAAACATGGAAACCCAGTGTGTGTTGGACAGCTGAACGGCTGAAATAGAACTTTGAGGAGCAGCTGTCCCTTCCTCCCCCTCCAGTTCTCTCTCCTTCCCCTCCCCCTCCTCAATCCCATCATTCCCCATTATAATCAGTGATGCTGTCTACACCATGGATATATATACATATCTATGGTCTACACTGGATGCGGCACGACAAATCCCAGACAGAAAACTGCTGCTGCGTTCCATTTATGATGTATTGACACACATTTCAAATGAATTTCAACGGTCGCGTAGTCGCGTCCAGTGTACTAGACAGACTTTAGCTGTTGCGGCGCAGACACGGTGTTACTCGAAGTTAAATAAAAATCGCCCATCCATAAAAAGAGTGTCTCACACGGCTCCGGGGGTTGAACAAAGGCCTCCTGTAGCAAATCGATACGTTTTTGTAAGAAAAATATCCATATTCAAAACGTAATCACTTTAATGTAGCTTGCGCCAACAGTTGTACACGGAAGCAGTTCCGGGTGGATGTCGTATGAGTTTGTTTTTTTTTGCATACATGGCGGAAATAGGCTTCCAAATTTAAATTTGAAATAAGATGGATACATTCCATCTTAAACAAGCTCTCCAGCCTGACACCATTAGGTCTAGAAAAATTTCCCCTGAAAAAAACACAACTAATCCTGAGGGAATGGGATCAGTTAGATCTATGGTAGTCCAGATAAAGAACGAGTCCTACCTGCCGTAACGCGGGCCGTTAGATCCAGCAGGTGTCACAGCGTAAGAATCGTCAGCTGGCTTCAGTTAAATAAAGAACAGGTAATATTCTCTAATGCAGGACATCAATCAGAACGGCCTCTGCTTCTGCTTCATGTCCCGCTAATAAGATAATACACCACATCACTAACACTTACAAACATTTACCATGGTAAACACAGTTTCTGTACTTCAGATATTATTTTTACTATATAAAAATTACATTGAATTTAAAAATAGTAAATTTGAATTTTAAAATGACCTTTTAGAATTTGTTTATTTACTGATATTTTATTTCGTTTTTATTTATTTAATTTATTTTGTCAGTGGCTAATACCAAATTATACGTTTTTTTTTTTTAACAATAACAGTATTTTTTATATTTTTCATTATTTTCATTTTAATTTAGGTATTATTTATTTTGCTATTCTATTTATTTTCATGTTTTACTGATGACTAAAACAGAAACAAGTTTTTCTGTAGTAACAATAACTGCAGTAAATGTGGTATTTTTGCAGAAACTATTGTTACCATGGTAAAAAAAAATAAAAAATGAAGTGATATTTTGCAAACTGTACATGTATTTAGAATGGAATATCAATGTACAATTTACTGAATGCTGTGCATTTTATGCAGTATACTGCATACTATTTTAAAAAATATATGAAAAAACATTTAATTTACTTAAGAAACGATGTATAAATGATTAGACAACTGCTTGTTTCCTGAATCAGTCTAAATATGTGAAACCTTTTTACATTTTAAAAAGCAGTGTACTACAATGGATGTCACAATGTCATTTTCGGTAAATGGCATCCAGTTATTATCTTGTAAATGTTTATTTTGCATATTGAGCACAGCATTCTGGACCATAGCCTTGTCATCTTCACACGTTGTCGCTGATCTCTGATGAGTTATTGCTTGTCCCGTACAGGAGCACATTTTAGCAGGCACCAGCATAGTCATGCTACCTCCTGCCGGCATTTTCACCTGGCTGCTACGGCAACGTCGCTGCCTGCTGAGTTCCCGCCCCCTCCCCTCGCCCCGCCTCAGTACCAGGAAATCCCGCCCCCTTTCTTACCTCAGGCCTTACAGCAGCAATACCTCATCCAGCAACAGCTACTGCAGCGCAGGTAGAAAACACACACCTGTGCATGTTCAGTTACATAAAAGTTATCTTTCTTTAAGGTAAAAGACAAAACAATTGATAAATAAAAGGTCCATTCTATTCCTCATACTGTCGCATCTCTTCAGACGCACACAGGAGCGAGTCCCACTGAACACGCATCGGTTACGTCCAGGATATGAATATGCTCCGCCCCTCCATGTCCCTCAGCCAATCCCACAGCAGCCCAGATACCTGGCAGAAGGCACTGATTGGTGAGTTCTGCAAAAGCACACGCATACAAAGCAGCGGTAAAATATCGAAACTCATTTCCGCCATCGAATAGGTCATTGACGTTTCATCTCAGTATTCAGGCTTTTTTCCCCTCATAATTGCAGTTTCTAACTCAGTTCAAACTTTTTTATCTGAATTTCTTATAAGTATAAACTTTGCAATTGCAAGTTAGAAACTTGTAATTTTGAGTTTACATCTCACAATTTTGACGTTTGTTGTTGTTGTTTAGAATTCTGAGTTTAAAGGAACACGCCACTATTTTTGAAAGTAGGCTCATTTTCCAACTCCCCTAGAGTTAAACCATTTTTGAATCCATTCAGCCGATCTCCAGGTCTGGCGGTAGCACTTTTAGCTGCAGCTTAGCATAGATCATTGAATCTGATTAGACCGTTATCTCGCTCAAAAATGACCAAAGAGTTTCGATATTACCTAGTTGGGGACTATTTTCAGGCGCTGCGTAATATCATTGCGCCTGCTGCACCCATGGTACGGCAGCAAAGTTTCTTGGTTATTACGCCGGAATGAGAGAATAGTTCCAATAGTGGCGTGTTTCTTTAAATTTCACAATTTTTACTTTTTTCTTGGAATTCTAAGTTTACATCTCAATTCAGACTTTTTTTCAGAATTCTAAGTTTACATCTTGCAATTGAAACTTCTTTCTCTGAGAATTCTCAGTTTACATTTTGCAATTTTGACTTTTCTCTCAGAATTCTGAGTTTATACTTGTAATTGAGTTTACATCTCACAATTCTGACGTTTGTTGTTGTTTAGAATTCTGAGTTTAAATCTCACAATTTTTGCTTTTTTCTTGGAATTCTAAGTTTACATCTCAATTCAGACTTTTTTTCAGAATTCTAAGTTTACATTTTGCAGTTGAGACTTCTTTCTCTGGGAATTTTCAGTTGACATCTTGGAATTTTGACACTTTTTTTTTTCTTGGATTTCGAAGTTAGCATCTTACAATTCTGAATTGTTTTCTCCAGAATTCTGAGTTTAAATCTCACAATTTTGCCCTTTTTCTTGGAATTCTGAGTTTACATCTCAGTTCTGTCAGTTCTGATTTTTTCTTTTTTTTTTTTTTTCAAGAAACATTGTAATGTAACATTGCAACTTTTTTTTCTGACTTTTTTTTCACAACTGTGAGTTAACATCTTGCAA